GATATCTCTATTACAAGTCTTTGCACAATCTATCAGAAATAAGAATTTTATTCTTTTGTGTTCTACTACTCTCACACTAGAGATAGAAACCTGGATATCATAATCTCTTATCACAGACATTATTTCAATACTATTTTTCATTTAGATGCTCAAGAGGAAAAAAAAAGGGTAATTTTTTGTAGATTTCACTTAAATATGGCTTAAAGTAAGTGAAGTGTAGAGTTGTACTGTGTACACAGCTGCACTGCAGAAAATACACCCCTGTAGACTATTTTTCCATTAACATTGTTGAGATAAAACCCACATCTTCAAATTGCCATTTCCATATACACTCAGCTAGGGAAACACTTCCATTCTTTAAGTTGCACTGCCCTCTGGGGGAGAGGATCTTCAGCTGTAGTTCCGTGTCCATGTTGCTAGAACAAAGGCCTTCCTCGTTTCTTTCCTTCAGTTTTGAAGGCTGAACATTTTAATTCCTCCAAATATTATGCTGATGCTTCATATGATTTGGCACAAAGATGAGTGAGGCCAAATTACAGCCATGTTTTATTTGCTTTTTTATTGCCTTGCATGTTCTCTTTGTGTGTGCATGTGTGTGTGTGTGTGTGCGTGCGCTTGTAAATCTTGTCTAGGAAAGTTTGGAGGTGCTTTTTTGTCTTTCTGAAATTTGTAGATGTAAGGTAGTCTATCCACGATGAAAGGTCTGATGCTGCTGTACCACAGTGTTAAATGCTTCATGAAGCAGTGCCCTAGGTTCCAGAAAAGTATGCTCGAGGCTTCTGTACATCTGGAGGGGGACAGAAAACGCATCAGGATCAACATTGTTCACAAAATGTTTTAACTTCTGCTTATTCAGTGCACATTCCTAACACATACGTGGGCACTGCCTAATTATATGGAGAATTCCTGGGCTTACAGTGCACGTGCTACACACATGGTCACCATACATATACCTGGTGTTTCCTGCAAGCCACAGGGTTTATTCTGTGTTTGTCAGGCTGTGTAGTATTTATATTGTGTTTCCAGCATCCTACTTGCTTTTTCCTTCAAGCAACAAATGCAATGAATGGTAACTCAAGTACTGAGGGCAGGAATTCATGGCAAGAAGCACAGGCTCTCTCAGTGTGAGGCAGGCAGGCTACATGCCCACCTCCCAACCAGAGCAATTTTCAGGATTCTCTCTCATGCTTTTTACCAGCGTGTTGAATGACTAACAAAAAAAAAATAGGGATTTGGAAAAGCCTTGCCTAAAGAATAAACCTGTTTATTGTGTCTTGTTCTGTCTAGCTCACCCTTCCTCTCAGTAGTCTGGGGTCGTGAACTCAAGAGGTATGATGGTTACTAGGGCATTTCTGCTGAAGGCTAAAGTGTGTATAGCTGTGTTTGGGATCCCCCACAATGCAGCTCTGGGCTCTACACAGATGTGGCATTCGCTGAAGGAGCTGATGGAAGTTGCTCATGCAGACCATGGAAATGACAGGTGGTCTCTAGTCTGGAAAAATCATAATTTTCCAATAAATGTCTGACAAAAAGGTAGGTTTTAGTGAGAAGCTCTCTAGTACAAACAAGAAAAAAAAGTTATTTCTGCTATTTGAGTTCTGGTATTTTCTAAAAAAAAAAAAATAAAAAAAAAAATTCAGGGAGCCAGTCATATAATAGAGAATTATAATTCTCATAATAAGTAGGATATCACACTGGGGAAGCTATCTGGGTCAGATATCTGGGTATGGCAAATTTTGCCCCCCCTAAACCAAGTAAAATTGATGCACTGCACCACAAGAAGGGATTCTAACCTAGCAATGCTGCAAGAAGCCTTTTCCAGTGGCAAGTGGACTGACAGCAACTAGCTAAAAGAAACTCCAGTACAAAGGAAAGCATTTACCGTCATGGCTGAAGGTAAGCAAAGTCCTAAGCATTTCCATACCACAACATAATTGTGAAAATAGACCTCCAAATTCCCAAAGAGTAACATTGAGAAACTGCTAGTTTCTACACAACTGAAATTTCACAATATGATTTAAAGCTGTCAGGCAAGCTGTACAACTTGAAAATGGAATAAAATTCTAGAAGAGAAACTCCTGTAGTAGATCTTTTCTCTTTTACAATTTCTTAAAAAAATTGTGTGATGAAGCAGGACTTGTTTCAGTGAAGTGTATGTAATGCTTCAGCATCTTTCCACAGTAGATGCTCCAAATAAGATAGCAGAAATAATGACTGCACCAGAGAAAAATGATGTGATTTATTATTTGGAAAGAAAAGTGATGAGGTTGGTATGGATGGAAATAGTCTGCCTTAGCTGTAAGGAAAAGAAGTATACTATGAAGACTGCAGGTGTATTGAAGTGGAAAAAAAAAATCAGTAACTAGTGAAAACTCATATTTGGAGAAGATTAAGGGCTTCACAAATGAGAGGGAATGGAGATTATGAATTCATCACATGAAGCAAGCCACCATGTTACCTGTGAGCTGGTGCTGAGTCTCTAGGACCTTCTGGATATTGCAGTGGCATTAAACAGAAAATGAACACAGTGTACTTCACTGGCTCAAATTAGTGTACTAACAAAAGTGAACATTAAGAATTACTGTTGTGGATCTACTGGCCAAACTAAAGGGGCTCAAAAATTTTTCCCCACCCACTGCTCTCCCATTGCCCTTCTGAGAAGACACAGGATGCAAGAGCACCAAATACTAGTTCAGTGCCAACCACAGCCTCATGCCTTAGTGGCAGGGAGCAGGAGAGAGGAGAACTCCCTGCCTTCCTCTCCCCATTGTCTTTTCTCCTCCTTGGCACAGCTGGAAATCCACTTCTATTACACTGCCCAACACAGGAGAACGTCCTGTTACATTACAGTGAGTCTTGTGTGGAAAGCTGGCTCAGGCTCAGACCCTACACTCAAATCAGAGCTCATCTGCACCTCCATTGCTACCTTAGAGTAGGACTAGAGGGTGCTTATTGGCAACAGACCAAGGAGAGCCTGGTGGCCACTGGTGAGCACATTATTTAGCCAAGGAGCTGATGCACCCTAACAGCTGATCCCATCTCCCACTCTCAAGTACTTCCACTTCAGCAACATTACAACTTTTATAGAGACTTTCCAAGGCTTTCTTAAAGTTTTGGTAAAGATAGGCATGCTGCACGTTGATGACACAAGTTCAACATTCAATGTCTGCTGAACATGTCTGTGTATTTACCTTTCAGACTAATAAACATTTTGTTAATTATTTCCCTTTTTATCACTGGACAACAATTGCAGCCTTAAACCTTCAGCCTGCAGAAACTCCTTCTTAGCTTTTTCTTTTCATGTTTGATTTTGAAAATAGGATTGCCTTTAAACTCAATTACAAACGATGGATTTAGCAGCATCCATAGACACGTCCAATCTGAGCAGTAGCTTAGCATGTGGTACTGTAATCACTGCATGTTAATAAGGGAAACTTGTGAGAGACAAAAACTTTCTTAATTAGTAAAATGATATGAAATGTTCTGCCTCATACTGCTAAGTATTTTTTTTAATTCAATTTATATATCCTTCTGAAGTATCTACTTTTGAGTATTAAGACACCTTTAACAAATTAAAGGGTTGTATTTTTCAGCTGAGACAGTATTGATGGTATTATAACGTCTGTATTATTAAAATGTACGTTTTCTGTTCCCTGATTGTCTTATTATTTTTTAAGGATTTTTGAGGAATACTTTTTCCTTTAGGGCTATTTTCCTTTTTTGGACTCTTCTTTTTTTGGGCTGTGTTCATGTTCTACGTAGCATCACCAGAAAGCCCTGCAGGCTCAATACCATATGTACTTGTAAGAAACATGGTGCTTAATATGACATGAGGTAGTTAATATTTTATATGGGTTTTATGGGTTGAAGCCTTCTGGTTAGTACTGGGCAGGTAGGGGAGAGTACAACCATCCTGCTTCAGCCCATTGTCTGAATTTGGGAGTTGCTGGGAAACAACACAGCAAGTGCTGACAGCTGTTGCAGGGAGCCTGGCCCATTGTTCCGGGCAACATCTTCCCCTCTTTCTGCTACTCCCTGGCTTAGGTACTTGTGGGGAGGCAAAGAAGCAGCACAGGTCAACTCTTAACCACCTTATGTCCTTCTAACACATCAAAGGACGGTGTGTGTGCGCATGTGAACAAAACACATGGTGGCACAGGCAGCCACGGCCAGGCAGCTGCCTGTCTTCCCAGGGGATGCCGAATGCCTGCTACCAGGGAGGCCACTGCCGGCCTGTTGTCCAGAAAATTGGATTCTTTATCTGGTGTGCAAAACCCCGATACTTACACGCTCAAGAGAGACACTGATTATTTATTTATTTCAGAGTTGTGTAAGGCCAGCTGCTCAGTGATGTTCCACAAATCAAGCACGACTTGGACTTTCCACGCCATTATTTATACACAGAAATTCAGTTAGTAACTTTCCAAGTACAGCTCCTCTACTATGATTAGCTAGAAATTTACATACAAGCTACAAAAACTCAGCTAACTTCTACCATGATCAGGGTAAGAGTCTGCATGTGGACAGGGGTCTTCTTGGTCTCTAGATGTGATTTTTAGCATTATAATGAACGCGGTTCAGCTATAGGATACATGGACCTTGAGTATTCTGCCAAGTTAGGAAAGTATACATAGACATGCTTCAGCATCTTGATTTACTACATCCTTAAAGTTTGTTAATTCCCTGGTGTCCTTCACTAAGGGATGCTGCTATCTGTTCTACCGACAGACAACAACATCTTGATTTACTACATCCACAGTTTACAACTAACAAGCCTGAAGCTTTAGTTCCCGGGTGCCCTTGCCTAAGGGATGCTGGCTGCTGCCCGTCCCACTGGTTGGGTATCCTTTCTCGCCGATGAGGCTTGAAAGCATACAAAGATCTGACACCAAAGAACACCCTGGCTTCACATACTCTTGGCACGTTCCCCGTCCCGCCACGGTCCCCGTCCAGCCGGGCGGCGCACGGGGCATCCCTGCCTCCTCCCGGCTGGAAGTGACGCTCCCGCTGCCGTCAGAGCGGCGGAAGCGCCGCCGGGAGCAGTAAACAACGGCGTCGGAGCCGCGGTCGCCGCGCTTCCATCTTGGAAGAGCACGAGTCGGAGCTGGTCGGGGACCATGGGCGGCGTCCTGGGCCTCTGCTCCCTGGCGAGCTGGGTAAGCGGGGCGCGGGGGGTCCCTCCTTGCCCGCCGCAGGCTCGGAGCCGGCGGCCGCGGCTCCCTGCCCTTCTCTTCGCCGCCTGCACTTCCCTCGCCGCCCGGGCCTCGCCCATCGCCTCGCCGTGCCCGTGTCTCCAGGGGGCGGCTGTGGCGCTGCCTTCCCCCCCCTGCCCCGGCGCGGGGAGGCTGCGGGCCCCCTCCCCATTCCCCGCCGGTCCCTCGGCCCCGAGCGGGCGCTGCCCCCGCTCCTCCCGGGCAGGGCTGTGACCCCGGCGGGCTGCAGAGCTCGGTCTCCGCCGTGGGGCCCCCGCTCGGGCTTCTCCGTGGATCTCCAGGCCTCCTGCGGTGTCGTGTTGGCGGGGCCGCTGCCAGCTCCGTGCTGACCCGGCCAGGCCGGGCGGTCGCGCTGCGGGTCGCCCTTAATCCACCCCTTTGTCCTGGGGGTGTTACGGTGTCCACTGAAATTCCCTCTCCCCGGTCCTGTAAAGGAGTCACAGTCTCATGAAATGCTTTGAACTTCAGCGTTTGGGTGTGGTGGTTTTTTTTTTTTTTTTTTTTTTTTTTTTTTTTTTTTTTTTTTTTTTTTTTTTTTTTTTTTTTTTTTCCCGGGAAAATTAGAACTCTCGTGTTTCCCCGATTCTGATATTTGTATTTTAATTCCTCTTTCCCTTGGCTTTGTCTTGAGCAGCTCCACCCTGTGTAGCATCTTTGTCTGACCGAGCCATCGTTTTTCTCAGCGCACACTAATCCGTGGCGGTGTGTCACCACCGTGCTGAGCATCGTCAGGTGTTTTTCTTAACGGGGAACAGTAGTCTGAGGTGGTATTAAAACTGTTTGCACTATGCAGGAAAGCAAAGAAGTTGATAAAGGGTCCTCATCTGAGGCATTGCTCTTTTATCCATAAGTGATGATAACGTATTTCCAAGTCTAGTCCCTAGGTATATAGACACAATCAGGTGGACTGTGAATTTCTAGACGTTTGGCTTAAAAATGTCAACGGAATAGCGAAAATCTGAATTTTCCATGCCTAAAATATTGTACCATACAGGGATTAAGTTAGATTACCTATATTTAAACAGTTCGTACACACGTTTTAGTGTAGTAAAAAAACTTCGTATTTATCCAAGCTCCTATTTTTTGTGCTATCAGAATGTATGGGCTTTGGCTCCCCCGGTACAGTGATGTTTAATTAAGTGAGATGATACGTAATGTACAAATTATATGAAATGATCCTAGAACTTGAAAATTTATATGAGCTGACTTTCCAGGCTGATAAGCATGTAAATGATCAACTAGAACACTGATAATACCCAGTTAACTAAGTACTGTCAGTGTTCATTTTCCTCTCATTAGCATTTTAAACACTACACTTTGCTAGTTAGACTTTAATTACTAGCTGAATATACTTAACATTAATTTTTTAAATGAATATAAAAAATTACTGACAGTGTGACTATAGGTTTTAGTTCAAATACTTGGAATACTTGAATTAATATATGCAACATTTTCTAGTTCATAAACAGCCTTTTTGACAACTGGTTTGTATTTGGAGTGCATGAAGAACCCCTGTGTACTTGCTTTTGAGTGTTTGCTTCTGTACAGAGAAATTCAGCTAATGGCCTGTTAGATAAAATGATTTGCATGAGAATGTAGTCTTAATTAAGTCAAATGTACTCTGAGTATCTAACCCCTATCCCTTCCTTTAAAGTGGCCAAACAAATCAGGGTGGGTTTTTTTGTTGTTTGTTTGTTTGTGTGTGTGTGGGTTTTTTTCTTCTTTTTTTTTGGTTTTATTTTTCTTTTCCCCTGTTGGCTTTAAGCATTGATTTTCTTTCCACATTTAAAACCACAACTAATAAGCACTTAAAGCCCATATGATAGTTCTTAATAGGAGAAATCTGTCTGTGCTGGTCTTACAGGATATGTCACTGTTTGTGGCTCTGAGAAAGAAGCAAATTGTGAGGGTGAGAGTGCAGCGGTACCAGATGTAATGGAGTTTGTGGTAGTGCAGACTGTGCCATGGCCAGGAAAACTCTTTTTCCTGTGAGGACACTGCTGTCAACGTGGCCTTGGCTCAGTTCTCTGCAGGGCCACGTGTTGTGCCGTGCAGAGCTGCTTTGCGTAGCCTTGGCATCAGGCCTCATGCCAGACTTGTTTCTTTTGGACTTTTTGCGATGTGCTATGGCTGGTTTTAGCTCTGCCCTCCTGTGTGCTTATCAGGCAGTGTTTCACTTCAGTGTTTAAGAGGAAAGTCAGAGTTGGCGGGTGCGGTGGGGGCAAAGGTGTAAGAGTACTGTCATCTCACCAAAAGTTTTCTGATGCTGATGACGTAGATTGGTCAGGCAGTGCCACTCTGCTGCATTTTGCCTCTATTGCACTGTTCTCTGACATAGCTGAGCTGCTGTTTTGCTCGCTTGAATATTCTCTGTCAAGGTAAAGATCTTGATTGATTCAGTGCCTTTCAGCAAAAGAGTAGGGATGATGTAGCTAAAATCTGACTAGGCCCAGCAAGGGCTTAGTGTTTTTGCAAGTACTTAATTTAGTACATAATCATTTAGTCATTACTCCAGTAGGAAGATTATATTTGATATTAAAAATTTGTTCTGTGTCCATCAGAGTCAGTAATGTTTGACTTTCAGAGATTTTGTGGAGGTTTTCTCTCTCCTCCTCTCTCCTGCAATATTCATCTTACGTGTTCCTTATGCAATTTCCACTGCCTTAGGGAATGAAGTGACTGGTGTAGCAGGCATGAATTAGCTGGCTGGTCTGCCCAGTTGGCTGCTCGCAGAATAGGTGTGTGGGTTGCCTTTTCTTATTTTGTCTTAGTAAACACCACCAAGCTGCTTATTTTTCTCAAAAATGTAAAGGGATACGAGTTGGTTGATAGGTACAAAAATTTCTGGATGGCAGTAGATTTTATGCAGTTGAGATTTTGCAACTGGTGCCCAAGCTTCCATATGAAAACAAGGAAAAAACTAATTGAAGAGTGACTTTCTGTATACAGCTGTGACTCAGCTGAGTCTCATACAGGGAGCTAAGCTTTGATCTGCGTGGTAGTATCTTACTATTTGTAATGTTGCATATTTTTTTAGGAAGCATGCTTCAAATTTAGGAGGAAAGTGGCACAAACTGTCCTTGTCTCCTCTGCTGATAGACTGAATTCTATGAGGTGGATGTTCTTTGCTTTCAAGTCTGTAACTTGCTAGAAGTGGTTTTGCTAATAGTATAATATTATTTTATTGGAACGGTGTATATTCTATTCTTTTGCCAAAGAAAGAGGGATTTGGACTGTAACGGGATTCCTGGTAAAAGTGGCCAACTTGTATAAATAGTTATCAGTAGGTGTCTCTTGTTAAGAAATGTGTGTGATCACAGCTTGAAAGCATGAGCTGTTTGGGGGCAAAGTTTTAAAAGCTGGTGTGGGAGTTAAAACTCTAAAGTGAGCTGTATTGCTTCTCTTGAGACACATTGTTTTCTAGTGGGGTGGAGACAGTCACCTTTATTTCAGATACTGCAAATATCTATTATCTCTAGAAACATGCTGTCTTCCCCTTGAGGTGCTAAGGAGCAAGCTGCTTGAATTATTTAGGTATTAAATGATTTAACATTGGGATTCACCAGAGAAGTGACTTTTTTATGAGGAACTCCTTTCACCAAATTTTCTGCAGCAGATGAGCCTAGGCATATATTGTAATCTGCCAAATTCAACCTTTGTCTTTGGAAATATTAATGCAGACAGAATTAGTTCAAGAAAGTAACTTTTTGAGCAGAGATATTCTTCACTAGAAAGGCTGTTTGTGTGTATAGGAAATAGTGTAATACAGTAATACTATAAAATTCTGATGCATTCTGAGCCAGTATTTGCTATATATTTCCTGTTTACTAAGCATAGATGTTCCTAATAAAGTTTGCATGCAGTCGTATAGCAGCCTCCAAGGATCATCTGGTCCATCTTTCACAGAATAGGAGGCCTAGATGGGGTGATCTACTGCCTTGTCCAGTCGCTTTTGAAAACCTCCAGTGATGGAGGCTACTACTGCATCCTTGTGAAGGTTGTTACAGTGACTAATTGTTCTTACTGTAAACAATTTCTTTGTTATATTGAGATGAAAAGTCATGTAATCAACACCTTCAAATTATTTGTGCTATAATGATACTTAGTGGAGGAGGAGGTAAAAAAGGGCAATGTAATAGCTTTTACATTCTGAAATAGTTAAAACTACCTAGTTTCACTGCTATAGCATATAGCAGGTTACGGGGGGACCTGCTGCAAGACCCAGTGGCACATTCTGCACTGGGAGTCGGGACACACACATGAGAGCACGAGAGATGTGACCCACAAAACGGCAGTTTATTAAAACAAGAAGACAGCTTTTATACTGGGGAATACAGAAGGTTCAGGAATAGGGGTAGGAACCTGGCTAGGAACGTCAAATCCTGAGGGTTACTGATATGGGGACTTGGAGGGATAGGCTAAGGCATATGTCAGGTCAGTTAGGGGGAAGGGAGAGCTAGGGGAACAATGGAAGAACTGTCCTGGGTGCATGGATAGGGGAATTTGCTGAGGGTGCAATGCTGCGGCCTTGTAGTTGAGCTGGTTCCCAGGCAGTTCTGCACAGCTGAAGTTGCTAAAAGTCTTCTAGAGAAATCTCCTCTTCTGAGCCTTCCTTGCAGTGCTTTTTCATCTCTCTCCATGCTCTGTAGGCCTCTTCTGGTCCACCCCTGACATTTCCCCCTTTCCTGTTTTTCAGGACTGGAAAAGCTTGGGAAAAACTTTTAGTCATGCATTTTTTAACACAAAAAATGAGACAGGGAACAAAGACAAGGATGAAGAGAGTGACAATTAGAAACAGAATGATGCCTTGAACAACCTTGTTGGCTTAATCAGAAAGGGAAGGAAAGTGGAGCCAACTAAAGAGACCTGAGAGAAGTGGCATTGGCTTCGTTGGCCATCCAGCAGGCCATGTGGGCTAGAGTGGAGAGGGCTTTGGATGTACCAATGCTGGCGATTAGAAAACTACCCCAGAATCTCTGAGCGGGGGACCAAATTTGAAATTTAGGGTTACAATCTGGTGGGACATTGATGTTTAGTTCATCCACCTTGGCTGGATTGCTTTGAGGGGCCTTTGCCACTTTCTATCGCCACAGATAAGAAAGTGGGTGGAAGGCAGTTTTGTGGGTCTAGAGAAACTTTCAGTAGGAAGAGGATAAGGCTGGGAGTTATTGCACCATGCGGTGTTGTTAGTATAGATGGAGGAGTTGGGGGATATGTTAGCTTCTAGGGTAAGGCGATTAGTAGTGGGTTTGAATCTAAAGCTAGTGGTAATAACAGCTGAACCTAAAAGGTCTAACTATTGGGGATTAGTGTCTGGGGAACCTAGATATGGGAGGGTTTGGGTAATAGTGTTTGGAGGCAAAAGGAGATTATCTACAAGGGAAGTGTTTTGGATAAACCTGTTCCAGCCAGGTATACCCATGAGACAGCTTTTAAATGGGTTACTCACACTGTCCAGGGAAAAGGCACATTGTGTCTGTGTTGGTGGTTTTTGCCAGGTGATCCAGACATTTTCTGTTGGTTGTTGCATGCAGTCTGGAACTGTGAAGGCTAAGGTACAATAGCAAGACAAATTTAGTACTGAAGTTCTCTAATTTAAAGCTGATTCTGTAGCATAGTGGCGTGAAAATTCTTGGCTCCTCCACCCTCGGAAAGGAACACAACTACAAAAAAGAATACAAGAAATGATTTAAAAACCCCAGGTCTGTGAGTCCAGTGTCTGGGTTGAACACTGCTCAAACCTGTAAGGATCAGCCTTTTCCCCAAGGGCTTCTCAGGAAGCTGCCGAGAGTGTTGTGGCAATTTGTCTGCTTTTCCCTGCAACCCCTGGGGCCTTTCTGGTAGCAGCAGACTGTTGGCATTTTTGTTTGTCATATGACTAAACTTTTAAGAACTCTTTCTGACACATTCCAGTCATACTGGGTGATTGACATGCCCTGGTCATGTGGCCATGTAACTACTCATGTCCTTATGTGACCGACCGTGTGCCTTTCGTGCACAGGTGATGGACACCTTTGGCTTTTGTCACAGGTCAAAGGTGTCTCTGGATGTGTGCTGGGGGAGAAGACGGGTTTTAACCCCGTTCTATATCTTTGTCAGAGGTAGCATGGTCCGTTGTAGCTCAGAGAGGGCAGTGCTCTCACATTTTGATTGTGTCTTTCCTCTTTTGGTTAATGTTTACTTCTGGGACCTTACCTTTCTTTTGCTTCCGGAATTGCCACTCAGCAAGTGGCAGAGAATTGTTTCTCGCTCCCCAGCCATTTCCTGGTGAAACAGAACTATCTGTTCCCTTTCTTTCTTCCAACAATTTTCTAGTTTTGTCCCTCTTGTAGTATTATAGCTGTACAGCATTCCTATCCACTTTTGCTGTTGATATTTGGTATCAGTAACACATGTACTTTGTGTTTACTCTGCTCTTACCTTTTTTAACTTTTACATTGCATAAGTTAATTTTGAAAGGTAACACAATTATGTGATACATGATTAGATGATAATACAAAATAATTTGTAACCTGACCTAAGCTTTAGGCTATTTTACTTACTTTTTGTGCTCCAGAAATGTTTATGGCCCCAGTGAGGATTGTGTCCCAACTCTGCCAGGTGCTAAAAGCATACCCACATGACAGTTGTGCTCATATTTTTTTTTCCTGCCTTGTATTTGTCTCATCATCTGTACAGCTGTGGAGGGGAGGATGCAGTTGCTAACTCAAAGTAATCCTTGCATCTCATTTAGCTGAAATGGAATAAATTCAAGAGAACAAATGAGCCTGGACCAAGTCTTTATTTCTTCTCAGTGGATAAGGGATTACTTTCGACATAGCACTGATTTCACTGTACAGCGGCACATCAGGAAGCACTGCCAAGGCTGCTGGGTGGCTCTCTGATATGTTTGCAGTGACTTAGCGTGCACTGGTGGGTGGGATGCATAGGATGAGTCATTTTGCATCATAACTTCAGAGGATCTGCACAACCTGATTAAATATTGAAATCTAGCAATGCAAAGCTTTATAAATAATTTATGTTCTGTCTCCCTCTCAGATACCATGCTTGTGCGGAAGTGCCCCGTGCCTGCTCTGCCGATGCTGCCCCAGCGGAAACAACTCCACCATAACCCGGCTGATCTATGCCTTCTTTTTGCTCCTTGGCGTGAGCGTTGCCTGCGTGATGTTAATACCAGGCATGGAGGAGCAGCTGAAGAAGGTCAGGTCACTTTATTGCTAACTGTTTGGTAGAACAAATGTCACAGATAATACTAATTGACATCTTGAAAGCCTGGATTTTGTTTGGAAATATGTAATTTTGCTACCACTTGTGCTTCACAGTCACCATTTATTTGATTGTAGATCAAACAAACAAAGAACTTCTGGAAAATCACTTCATAGATGAAAAGAACTATTTTGAGGTGAAGTTGCACCTTTTCTTTAATAGCTCAGAGCAGAAAAAACCCGATTTTTTATCAAACAAGAAAATTTATGTGCATTTAGTTCAGATTATGTCTTAAGGAGATGCTTGTTTTTGTGGCAGTTGATTGATTTCGATCGCAGTTAAAAATCTAAGATATCTTCTAGTTTTATTTTGCTGTACTTAAGTTCTGTTTTAAAGTCTGCAATACATAACAAAAATACTTGTCATTAATCATAGTAGTGTATTTTTCACTCAGGAACTCAGGAAGTTGTTGTAGGATTTTACAGTTTATTGGTTATATGAAGATGTGATAATACATGTAAAATTAGAGAGTCATAATGTGAGCTATGGTACAGCTTATAGGTTCACTCAGCTTGGGTTGCCTGTACCGTACTTCTGCTAGTCTTTGTTTTGCTGTCTTTGTTTTTTTTTTCAGTAGATAGCAACTTTGGTTAGGCATTCTTTTGATTTCTTTTCCCCCAAAATGATTAATTTGTAAATGTTTATTTCAGTGTGGTGTAGTAACCACACTGGAGCTTCAATGAGAGCCGTGTTAGTCACATAGGAAAGAAAATTACAGCCTTCTGGAGCATGATTTGACTTCTGAAAGATGTTGCTCATGTCCTGGTAGTGACTGGAAAGAATGTTCTCAACTGTTTCATATGGAAGTTACAGGTACACCTAATTGATGGTGATGTTACATTTTTTGGGAGAGGCTGAGACTGTTTTTAAGAGATGTGAGCTGGCTGCCACCTCCTAGCTGTGTCATAAGCCTGACAATAACTGTCAAGTCAAATTTATGAATTCCCAGATCTTTTATTTAATTCTTGATTCATATTAGCAAGTGAAAACTGCATTTCTTTGAAAAGTTCCAAAATTGCTAATAATGTTAAAAAAAGCCTTCTGTTCATAAGATCCCTGTACCATCCCTGGAAACTTTCAGAGTCAGTTTGGATGGGACTGTGAGCAACTTGATGTGGTTGAAGATGTCCATGCCCTTGGCAGGGGGGTTGAACTAGGTGATCTTTAAGGGTCCCTTCCAACCCAATTTTAAGATTTATTTTTGGTTTTGTTTGGAATTTGCCTATGCAGGATTTTTTTCCTTGGATGTGTTTGATATCCCAGTTGGACTGTAAGTACCTATACAGCCCTTCAGTATCATATTTTCTAACAATGTTAATAGCTGCATAATGTTATAATGTTATTGAGTTACATATTGGCAATTTGTTAGTAAGCATTTACTTAAGGAGGTGTATAAAGATCACTGAAGTATCTTGTATTTATCACAGATCCCTGGATTTTGTGATGGAGGGATGGGAACAAGTATTCCTGGTGTGCACGGCCACGTGAATTGCGATGTACTCGTTGGTTACAAAGCCGTATACCGTGTGTGCTTTGGCATGGCCATGTTCTTCCTCCTCTTCTCCTTGCTGATGATCAAAGTGAAGAGCAGCAACGACCCAAGGGCAGCGGTTCATAACGGGTAAGAGGCAGAAATGGGAACTGAGTTATTGATTAATTTTTGTAAGAGGAAAAGGTACAGGTGGCTGTGGCTTTTCAGAGCCTAAACTGTGACATTAGATAATCTGTCCAGAGGTTTCCCAAGATTGGAAATTCCACTTTTGTCCGAAGATGATGAAATTCAGAGATGAATAATGGCACTAAGTTTCATTCCACTGAGATTTTTTTAACAAATAGATTAAAAAGCCTCATTTGTCCTCTGGGAATTCTGTTCCTCTTAAATTTGATGTTTTTAAGGTCTTACTCTTTTCTGAAGATTTTTTTTTTAAAGTTATGAGTTAAAGGTATCTTTTTTTCTGTCTGCGGTCTTTTCTTCAGTCTCCCCTCTGCATAAAGAAATGAGTTATGTATTTGGTTTCTGAGCTTTCCAGTAATTTTGTATTTCATTTTAGTTGGAGTTATCAGAGGGAAGAATATAGTGGGATTTCAGTGGCGGTTTTCATCCAGGCTCTGTCTATGTGTAATGTAGCTTCTTGAACCAAGGAGATGTAAATATTTGTAAGAGGACATGAGGCCAAAAAGCCTAAAACCATTTATGGTGCCTATTCTTGATGGTCACAGTGATTGCTTAGGCTACTGCTTTTCCAAGGTGACTATATTTAACAGAAGCTATGAACAGCTAAGCCATAAAAATGATGAAGTAATTTTGTTTTATATTCAGTACAGTAAGATTAAACATGTCTAACATAAAATGACAAAAAAACTCTTCAAATTATTTCTGTAGGGGAAAATAAAGTTATTAAAAGTGAGCAGAATATTGCTTTGGTTTTTTTTGTTTCAGTCTAAAGAAAAAGATACATTTTAGCAGCAGTAACTCAGTTCAGCCTTTCCCTCCACTCTGCTTTGTTCAGGAGAACATGCTTGTTACAAGCAAGAAGAAAATGGTTCAGTTACATTCTGTATCAGTGCCTTGTGTTCAGTTTTACAGCAAAAGACGACTTTTACGTCATGTGGAATGTTTTTACCTAAAACTTTGGGATCTTCTTGGTACCCTTATTTGGAGTTGTGCTTTCCAGTACAAATTTTTGTGCTGTTTATGCAACCCATAGAGTTTATTCTTATGCAACCCATAGAGTTTATTCTTCTTAGTTTATTCTTCTATTCTTCTAACATCAGCACTAGGATAAAAGGAAAAATTATGTTTGTTAACTGTTACTGGTAAAATATTTAATAATGTTATTTCCAACACTTCTGTAACAAATGGTTGCTTCAGTAAAATGCATTACAGTTAGCTTTGTGAAAAGCTTTATGGCTTTTGATTTTTGAAATTGTATGTATCTTCAGTAATCTTTCTGTCAGTGAATTGAAATATTCAGATTATTGTTTTTTCTGTCTCTGTCTACTGACTTTTTCATTCTTGCATGCAAGTTAAGCCCAGTAATATGTTCCAGCGTCAGTGCTCACCTTCTCTGCTTTTTTAACAGCAATCAGAGTGGTTTCTTGCTTCAGGTTTATAATAACAATAGAAAAAAAATCAGTCTTAATGTATTTACAGGGTAGTAGCTGGGTTGCACAGAATGCATAGCAGTGGTAGTTGTTGTCTAGCAAGTCAAAGGGTAGAGTGTTAAGATCCCTTAAAAAAGTCTGGAATTATGAGATTGGATATATATACACAATATATATCCATTCTTGAATCCATTCTTATTTCTGTAATTGAGAATTACATTGATTTTAAAAAAATCAAAATCCTCATGTGGATTCAAAAACTAGTTTTTGTGAGGTACACACTGCACTGTAAATGTTATAACTTGATTCAGCTTTCAAACTGGCTTTAATCGCTTCTCTAAATCCCAGGGAATTACTAAATATTTTTCAATATTCTAGGCTTCTGTAATCTCACATAGTTCCTCTCTACACAATTGGAACTTTTTCCTCTGGTCTTCATCATTTGACTGTAAGAGCCAGCAGGGGAGGTCAGACTTGTTCAAAGTGTGGGGAAAAAATGGGAAAGGATACAAAATTTGAAAACTGTCCAAGTGTTTGACATTGTGGAGGTGTGGTACTTGTCTTTGTGCTGTTATGTACAGTTTTGAAGTACATGTAGATGACATCATGCCTGTATTTGGAGCTGCCTGTCACTGTGATCAGAAAAAAAAGTCTTCACCTTCTTACAGTTTTATTGTCATAACAGTTTGAATTTCCCTATACAGTTTATATTTGGGGTGAATTTGGTGAACCTTTGGTGGAAGGTACTCCCTTCTGTGCTTTCTAGGAAACACGTCTGATCCGTTTTGATGGTCTATGAGTGCATATCTTTTACTGGAAAGAAATTCCATTGGCACCGCAGTGGAATTTGTGTCTTTTCTGTGAAGGATTAATCATTTGGTTTTGTTCTTGTGATAAGTTCTCATCATATATAGGCCTAAAGAACCTGAAGTTGGGTGGGAAAAATGCAGGCTTTGGTGCATATCTGTCTTGTAGGAAACTGAGAGACTGGTAGGGAGCTCTGGTATATTTTATCATTTTAGACACCAACCAGATCTTCTGCCTTTTTGGTTTTGATACTAGAAATAGGTAGGCATTTTTTTAACCCATTTTTTCTGATATGCAGGTAATTCAGTAATCTCACTGCTCTGGCTAAAAATGTTCCAAGGAAAAACAAGAAACAATTCCAAGTTGGCTTCATTTGTAATTCATGAGTGTCATCTCTCTGGGAAATATGTCAAACTCTGTCAGTCTAGCACAGTTAAAGTATAATTTACTGGAGAACAAAAATCTTGGACAGATAAAATAAGAATTTTATTCTATTTCAAAAGAAACAGGTTAAGAATGAGTGAATTAAAAAAACCCAGCTCTTAAGGATGTGTATTTCTGTGTGAATTAAATCAGAGGTAGCAGTTGCCTGAACTTTTTTTTTTTTTTTTTTTTTAAATTTCCCCTTAGGTTCTGGTTCTTTAAATTTGCCACTGCACTTGCAATTAGTGTTGGAGCTTTCTTCATACCAGAGGGACCATTTACAACTGGTAAGGGAATATTGTCTTCCGTTGTTGTATTATGGTGCAGTCGTAATGGGTTTTAAAACAAAGGCAAGTGCATGCTGATGTCTTACAGTTTTAATTGTAGCTGTGTAACTATAGCATTTCTCTGTGTTTAGGGACATTAATACAAATTATCAGTGGTTCTTAACTGGGTTTGTTTTATTTCTCTTTTAGTGTGGTTTTATGTAGGTATGGCTGGAGCATTCTGCTTTATTCTTATTCAGCTAGTCTTGCTCATTGACTTTGCCCATTCCTGGAATGAATCTTGGGTTGAAAAAATGGAGGAAGGAAACTCAAGATGCTGGTATGCAGGTAAAGGACTGTACTACGATCGAGTTTTAAATTTCAGTTTATTTGCATTATGTTAAATAAGTTGCTCACTGAATAGTGCATTTTACCAGAGTCCACAATGGCTGCTTTGTGCCCAAGTCTTATTTTCTCACATAGTGTACTTCAGCTCCATTGATGTCCTTCTGATATCAAGTTAAATAAGGAGGAGCAGGGAGAGGAGCAGCAGACTCTCGATAATGAGATCCAGTCCCTGGGAACAGGGCATCAGTTTCATAGGATCACAGTCTGGGTGAGGTTGGGGGGAACCACGGCAGGTCATCTGTGCAGCCTCTGCTCAAGCAGGGTAATCCTAGAGCACATTGCACAGGATTGCTGTTGGAACCCGCCCCTGCAGGCAGGGTAACTGAGGTTCTTGTTAATAATAGATCTCTTGGGGCAGATTAGAGAGAAAGTAAGCTAAGTGACTGCTGTTTATAAATATACGTATGATAGGTTTATTTCAGAACAGTTTGGTTGCAGTGAAAAGGAGGTTTGTAGCTGTTATGGTTATTATCTGTAGAAATACAGCAATATAAAAGCATATATGTAACACTGAAGAAAATGTATAAGGAAAAGAAAGGATAAGTGTTTGGAAGATAACACCACCCGTGGGTCCAGCCACCAGACCTGATGCAATTTAGGTGTCTGTTGGTCGAAGTGATGGTCGCATTCTTGATCCCCCAGGGGTGGGGGAAGCCGATGAAACACAAAGTGCAGTGGGTTAATATACCCTGAGATTCAGGTGGGAATGCCCAGGTACCTCCCCTGGAGTGGGGTGTTTTATACCGACTGATGGAACACTAGATCATGTACCGTCCTCTCTTGGAAGGCCCAGGGTGGGGGTGTTCCAGGGGTCTTTGATGGTTTATGGCACATTCTAAGACATGACAACTGCCTCTTTCATCAGTGTAGTTGAGCCAGTTATACCCCATCAGAAGGGATTAATGCCTCCAGGCCTGTATGTGAATGCCTCATGTGAATGTGAAAGGGGGTTGAGGAGGAGTTTGACAACTGAGCCACTTGTGTGAGGGAGGACGTTGGCATGATAAAAAGGATTATCCCACCTTGGATAAGTGGTCTCTAAGGATCTGTGGCCTCTTCCCTTTTTTCTTCTCAAAACAGAGCTTATTGCTAAGCAAAGGTTGGTTTGTCATGGTCATCCTCTGGTGATGGGTGCTCACCCCCTCTGCACCTGGACTGTTCTTATGCAGATCAGAGCTTTGGTTACCACAGGTCCAAAAACTCTCCTCCTCCCCTTTGGTTGTGGGGTGCAAACCTGGACTCAGCTAAGCACCCTGCTGCTTTTGCCAATAGACGATTGTTGGAGTCATTAACATTTCGATTGCATCCAGATAGTTCTTGAGTATCTCCAGTGAGGATGGTTTAGTGAGATTGGATCTGTGGCCTCTTCCCTTTTTTTTTTTTCTGTCAAAACAGAGCTTATTGCTAAGTGTTATAAAGAAAGAACACACACGGGAATCCTCATCCACACAGTCAAGAAGTTCTTCCTCAGATTCAGGTGCAGCTTCCTGTGCATCACAGAATCAGGGAAGTGGCAACTGCAAGTTTTTGGGTTGGTTTTTTTTTTTTTCTTTCAGCCAGAGGTTTTGTTACACCTTTAGTGCTGATTAAAAACGAAGTAGTCTGTTAATGCTTCATGCTGAGCGTAGTCATCTCAAATAATTGTTTTTTTCTGTCTGCCAGTCTTTTATTCTTTGCAGGTATATGGTGGGTGAAAGGCCAGGGTAGTGAAGGAGAGTATAAGTCGTCTCACTGGAGAAGTGATACCTTATTTTAATATAGCATTTCAGATGTGATCATTTAGGTGTTTCAAAAGACAGCATGGCCTGTTTTCATTCAATGGCCACTTAATTATTTAATGTTTTTACTAAGATGTAATTTGGAAATGGGGTTTTGTTTCACCTTCTGTTGGAGAAGTATTTTTCAGTTTCTTTTTTAAGCTGTTAGCTGAAGTGTGTGTAGCTGTATTGCTTTATACTTGCCCTTCCAAGTTGCTGTTAAAGCACTGGAGAATCAAGTAAGGCTTCAGGATTCCCGTGTGTGTTCTTTCTTTATAACATTTCAGACTGTTGAGAACTTCCTTTACATTTCAGTGCCCCGAACTCTCATTGTATACCATATCAAAAACCTGATAATTGTGCAATATTATTTCAATTTTAATAGTCTCTGTTATTAACCAGTTTAACTATGGTTTCGTCTTTTCACAGCTCTTCTGTCAGCTACAGCTGTCAACTACCTGCTGTCTCTTGTAGCTATTGTCTTGTTTTATGTTTATTACACTCATCCAGAAGGTTGTTCTGAAAACAAGACATTCATCAGTGTTAATATGCTGCTGTGCATTGGTGCTTCTATAATGTCCATTCTGCCAAAGATTCAGGTACAGTTTTAATTCTGTTATCTCAGGGTTTCAGGGGGTTTTTTTGGTTTTGTTTTGTTTGTTTGTTTTTGTTTGTTTGTTTGTTTTTGCGTTATCATAACATAATTGTGCCTGAGAGTTTTAATTGCCAAACTTCTCTGTTTTTTGACTCCTTTGTGTAGGAATCTCAGCCAAGGTCTGGTTTGCTGCAGTCTTCGGTGATCACAGTTTATACAATGTATTTGACTTGGTCGGCTATGACCAATGAACCAGGTAAGTGTAGTAGCAATGCACAGCTTTTGGGGTAACCAGTTCAGCAGTAAAAATTGTATCTTCTCCTTTTCTGAAGGCAGCAATAGAATGGGGTACTAGAATGCATGCACCTTCGAGGCAAGACTCACTAGTTTGTGTTCTCTTCCTCCCACCCCAACTTTCTGTAACAATACATAACAAGAAATCAACATTCCAAAGATAATGTGTTTTTCACTTGCTTATTTGGTAGGGAAGGATTTCTTCCTGTTACTGACAGGACTGCAGTATTCTAAAATGCTTAGATTTCCTCTGAGGTGTCAGGGAGATTCATCTCCCTACCATGTTTCATGTTTCCTGGGTGACTGAGATGCTACTTGATTGTATTTTTCCAAACTGAGGATTTAAAACAAGTATAAATAAATGTTTTCTATGTGTATTTTGTCTGAAAACAGCTGAGCATCTCTAAAGATAAATAAATTAATTCAGAAATTCTGGTGATTAAAATAAATTTCAAAATATTGATTTTGATGGGTTTAATTTGGTCTTTTATCTTACTTAACTGGGAACAATCTTCTGTGCTTCTGTGACACAGCATACATGATTTATATCAAATCCTGGCAATGATTATGGGGAAATAAGATTGCCTGCTACTTTCAGCTGTTTAATCAGTGTTTAATAGCTGTGGATGCTGTGGGTTGATAATATGAAACCAACTTATTAGCATTGTTCTCCAACTCTGAGATGATTCTGGCACCCCATCTGTAGGATATATGTTTGTCATACTTGCTTTCTAATGGTAGAATTTCTAAAGGTTAATATGTAGAGATTTTAATTTTGTTGTTTCTAATTATGAGATGGAACAATAAAGCATTTGATGCATATCTTATGTAAGTTTAAAATCCTTTTATCTGCTTAGAGACAGATTTTTATGCCACATACTGTCATTTCCCTGCTTTAGGGAGACTCAGTGGGCTAAAATTAGATTCAAAGCTATTTTACTTCAAAACTGTCACAGTCATGAAGTCCTTTTCTATTACCATGAGTTCAGCATGGAAATGTGCTATTAAGTATTTGTCTTGTTCTTGTTCTGTGGAAGTTCTAATGCAATTTCCCTCACAGACAGGCGCTGTAACCCAAGTTTGCTGAGCATCATTGGTTACAACAGCACCACCACTCCAGCCCAAGGTCAGGTGGTGCAGTGGTGGGATGCACAAGGAATTGTAGGACTGGTTTTGTTTTTGCTATGTGTTCTCTATTCAAGGTAAGATTCCTTAAAAAAAAAAATTAACTTATATTACTTCTTGTTGAAGGAGACTAAATTGTGTTTATTTGGGTAACTGTATACTGTGTCTTTCTTTTCCTGTTAAATACAGCATCCGAACATCCAACAACAGCCAAGTTAACAAGCTGATGCTGACCAGCGATGAATCAACACTGATAGAGGATGGAATGCCCAGGAGTGATGGCTCCCTTGATGATGGAGATGATGTTCACCGAGCCATAGATAATGAGAGAGATGGAGTTACTTACAGTTACTCTTTCTTTCACTTCATGCTTTTCCTGGCATCACTGTATATTATGATGACACTTACCAACTGGTACAGGTATTTAAATTTTATAATATGTTGTGCTAATAATGACCATACAGGATGCCATCTTTTGCTGGACAAGGAGGCACAAGTTGTGTGCTCTGGAATGTAGGTCTTGAATGGGCCTTCTCAAGGGAAGCATGCTGTTTGAGCCATATTTAGGGAATTGTACTTGAAAATTGAGTGCAGCCAACCTTGTTTTCCCGAGTGCCTGTTGTATTTTCTAGGATAATTCTTGTGATTCACTGGACTGCTGAAATATGTGCTGATGAACAGGATAAAGACTTAAATTCTATAACAACTAAAAATTGGTAAACACTAAGCCCTTGTCTGGTACAGAAAACTAGAAAAAGGAGAAATAGAACATGTTATATCAACAGGTCAAGGGACAGGTGTTCCTTCCCATCTACTCAGCACTGGTGACTCTGCACCTGGAGTGCTGGGTCCAGTTCTGGGCTTCCCAGTACAAGAGAGACATGGACATACTGGAGAGAGTCCAGCAAAGGGCCACAACGATGAAGGGACTGTAGCATCTGTCGTATGAGGAGAGCCTGGGAGCTGGGACTGTTCAGCCTGGCCAGAAGACAGCTCAGTGGGTCTCATTAATGTATATGAATACCTGAAGGGAGAGTGTAAAGAGGAGGGAGCCAAGTCTTTTCAGGGATGCCCATTGACAGGACAGAGACAAAGGACACAAACTGAAGCATGGGAGGTTCCCTCTGAATCTCAAGAAGCACTTTTTTCATTGCAAGGGTGACTAAGCACTGGCACAGGTTGCCCAGGGAAGTTTGTGGAGTCTCCATCCTTGGAGGTACTTAAAAGCCATCTGGGGCAGCTGGCTTTAGATGTCCCTGCTGGAATAGGGGTATTGGACAAGAGAACTTCCAGAGATGTCTTCCAACCTCAGTATTCTGTGAGAGGGCCTGGTGGAAGGAAATTAGTTGTCTGCTCACTGAAAATACCCTCACAGTAAAATAGTCCTTCCGTGTGTGAATTGTTTGTTGTTAACAGCTAGAGCAGATGTTCTTCAGAATTTAAAAATATGAATTATGTTCTCTAGTTATTTGGCAAAGGACAGTTTGTATCAAAATAGCAACACTGTAAAGCTATTTTCTTCAGAAGTAACTCTGATAGATAGTCCTTTGGTGGATTTGATTTGTGGCCCTGCTTGGGTCAGTATGAGATCAACATGATTAATTTTTCTAGGTGTTGTCTTTCAGCAAGGTAAAATACATTATTTTTCTCTCTAAGTGCTATCCATTTACTGCCTTTCTGCAGATTTGCTTAGAGATTCCTTGTAATAATTTCTGCTTCTTGACAGCTTCTCTTAGTAAATGTTTTTTTGTGCTGCTGTTGTTTTCCACCTTCCTGTGACACCAGCTGAACAAATGGTGTTCTTGTACAGACTGGTGTGAACTGCCTGGAAGAAGGGTATACAGATGTCCTTTGAGGTGTGAGGTGAAAATGATCTACTTTGAAAAGATTGTGGAAGGGTGGCTTAGTACACAAGTATGTCCTATTGAAAGAAAAGTTGCAGATGACCTTTTTTCTTTTTTTTCTTTCACTCACAGCCCGGATTCTACTTATGAGACAATGACCAGCAAGTGGCCGTCCGTCTGGGTGAAGATATCTTCCAGCTGGATCGGCATCGTGCTGTACGTGTGGACTCTGGTTGCTCCGCTGGTTCTCACAAACCGTGACTTTGACTAAGCTGTGCTGCTCTCCAGGGAGGCTGTGTCAGCTTCACCGTGTCTTTGAAACAAACAGTATTCTGGATAATAGTGCAGTTGTAAATACGTGTGTGTGTGCGCGTGTGCTGTCCGTGTAGTATACCCTGCTTTATTCTGCATGATTACCTTGAACCATGTCTTTTGTCATTTCACTAAATGACTTTTTCTAGCTGAGCTCAATGATAATTGCTGTAATGATGGTTTTCATGGGATTACTCCTAGATTGAGTGCTTTGGGAGCACGAGATGTAAGATTGAGAACTATTAGAAGTACGTTCTTTCCCCTCAGTTGCATTAAATAGTTGCAGGAAAAAAAAGTGCAAGTGTTAATTAGGGTAACTAAACAGTGCTAGGTCAGGCTTTGCAAGTAAAGGAGGGGCTGCCTTTGATGATCCCTGTTGCCTTGATTCCAAAGTAAGCCTTGAGTAAGCATTGTTAGACTCAAAATGGAGCACACTGGAGTTTACTGGACATCTTGCAGCACTTTGGCACCAGCAGCCTGACCTTTCCCATGCCAAGGGCAGCAGTACCTTTAGCAAAGATGTGAGATGAGGAAACTTAAACTTGCACCTGGAGCTGCAGAGGAGCCAGTGTCCTCCATGGCGCTGCTGGGTCTGATGTGTCCCATTGCAGACAGGAGGACAGGCACCCTGGGGAAAAACATCCTCACATCAGATGCTCAGAAGCATGTTTTTAAGGCACCTGTTTACAATGTGCGTTTATGTATTATTATTATTTTTTTAAGTAGTTTATATGGGATAGTTGTGCTGTAATTTATTGCTGTTTTGTGTGCCACTTTCTTCTTTGCTAAGCTACAATCATGGACTTTGCAAGGAACCGGAGTGGTGAAAGCTGTGTAAACCCATTAGAGAAATTTTTTGAGTATTGTGATTAAAAAAAAAAGAAGTGGAGGAAAAGAAGCACTGACATTACAGTAACTAAAGGAGGGGGTTTGCATTTACTGAGGCTTCAACTAAAGTGTTTCTTAAGATATTTGGGGCTCTAAATTTATTGAAATCTTTTACTATATTAGGTATTTTGCTTGTTGTCCATTGCCAGAGATGGACTTGAGCCTAGGAAGTCTAACTCTAGGCATGAGGTTAAGACATTAATCTGTTTGATTACAATACTATAGTTCCTGTGCAGTTACGGAATCTTAAATGCTTTTGTGCTTGCTGCTTTGTAACTGAAGTACTTGAGCCGCATTATTTATCTCTATTACTTGTTACAACTTGAGACTAAAGCAGCCTGACTGGGAGTGACCCTGGAGCCTGCAGCAGATGTCATGCTCATCTCTTACCGTGGCGTTTGTAACTGTGACTTCCTGTTGCTATTCTCTAAGCTTTTATTTTAACTCTGCACTGAACACTGACATTTACTGCAAAAGTCTGACATGTCAGTCAAACTTGAGATGGTAATGGAAGAATAGTAAAGGCTTGTAATAATTTGGAATATGTTGTTACCTTATTAATAAATAAATTTGGATGAAGATGTTCCATGACTTCTGATGTCTCATACTGCAGCCATATGTGTGGGTAGTGCAAGGTTTTGTGTTATATTCTCATCCCCTCTTCTGGGGATGCTTTATAGCAGTGTGAGATTCTGAACAGTAGCAGCTGACAGTGCTGCAGATCACATCTGTAGGGCAGCGAGTCCCCAGCAATTGGGGAGATCACGTGGAACCCCCTGGGTGAAGTTCTCTGAGCCCTGTGCAGCTGTGTCTGTGAACACAGCCATGCCTTGCATCTCTGACTGCATTCTTGCTTCATCAGCTGCTGCTTCCGCCACATTGGATCGCACCTGTTCAAATTCGGTAAAACACCTGAACGCTGGTTCTACTAGAGCACTTCTTCACTTTATTTTGACATACTGTTTATATGAGATCAGGAGCTCAGGGTGACATGAGTGTGTCCGCTGCCCCTTCAAACCCCTCTGGCTCTGTAACACAACTACAGAAATGCACTTTAACAGCTGTGACAGGCTTCGGTGATTGCAGCAATGGACACACACCTTTGGGAGGTGTAGCACTCCTCCAGTGGAAGAAAAACCGTGGGGCTCTGCTGCAGTTCTCAGTAAGAAATCAAGAAGGAAACCACCTTGTTGTGTACTATCACTGGAAAACAGTCTGCTGTATTAAACACTTTTCTGGACACTTTATAAACTGTAAAGTTTGGAGATAAACTGTTTCCCAAAAATTGTGCACAGAAGCAGACCCTTGCACAGCTACATATGAAAACAAGATGCTGTCATATCCATACCCATCTGGCACACAGAATAAGAGACAAACTCTTAACAAGTATCACACTTAAGTAACATTTATTTTATCAGCATAGATGGTCCAAGTTAAAAGTACTCATGCAGTCATGGGGCCTGGCGGCTGTCAAGAACTTTTCCCCAGTTTGTGCTATCTGTGAGCACTTCCACTGAAGTGAAAGTAAGGCAGAACCAAGATTTAGCAAGGTACAGGCACTTTGTTCCCAGTTTAAGCAGGGAAAAAAAAAGCCTACATCAGGTCCTGGTCCCCCCACCCCAAAAAAGCCTCATGTGTTTAACAAAATGCTGTAAAAAATAAAAAAACCCAAAATACAGAAAGTCGGTGCTCCCTAACCATACACTACTAGTTTATGTCATCATATGTAAGACCAGAAGTATAAGAAACCATAAATGAAAGCTTACTACTTACCAGTGTTGGGTACTTAGCAATGTGTGTAACACAAGTGTTCACAGCAGTGCAGCAGCACTCTGACTACTGCTGCCAGCCGTGCCTGCTGGCTTGTGTAACTAAACGATTGCTTGTAGGAAGATACGAAAGGTACTTAAGATTCCACATACCTGGTTACATAAAACAGTGATTTACAAAAAACTCTCATACCAAACAATATTCTAAATAAATAGTTCATCTTCATGACTATATACAGAGTCCCCCTCACATCAGTTATCCAAAAAAGACATATCTGTGTCCATGGGCACTGGAGCAAGTTCACATAGGTAGAACAGCGTGGCTTCGCTTGCCTCTGCCTCCGTCAGTGGCTCCAGACGCACCAGTTTGCTCTGAGTGGGCTCGGGATCCAGGCTGCTCTCCAGGAGCTCATCCCCTTCCAGGGACTTGTCAACAGTGGAAAGATTTTCAGCTGTGAAGCTCCCGCTCTCAACAGTGGAGCCTGGGCTCCCATCGAGGAATGCAAGGAGTGGAAACGCAGTGTAATGTATCAGCTGCTTATCTAAGGGGGAAAAAATGCCCAGAACATCAGTTCACATGCCTTTCTACATGCAGAGGGAAAAAACAAAATCCTACCCACAGCACTTACTTCGAGAATAATTAATAAAAAACCCTTACAGGTGTTTGTTTTAAATGTGTTGTTAAAGAATTGTTACACGCACGTGTAACGTTGTGCAGACTGTCCTGCAAAACATCAATTTCTCTGCAGCTGGTGCAGTGCCAAAAACCTAAAATCAAATATACCAAGTATTTTATTTTGGTTATTTGTTCATCAGCATAATATAAATCCAGAAAAGGAGCAAATAACCAAGATGGCTTTTAGAACAATGCGTGTTCAACTGTTTAAATATTTCAACAAATCACCACAACTAACCTGATCTGGGCTTAGAAGCTTGTGTTTCCTGTGAAGCTGCTGGACCAGCATTACTCTTCTTAGTTTCTTTTCCCTTTGTCTCCGTCTGGGAACAAAAGCAAACTCTTAAACACATGCTTAAAGCCTGTACCAATGCCACTGGAACACAGCTCACCAACTATTAAAAAAAAACCTACAATTTTTATTTGTGAAGGTTTGCAGTGACATTATCAGTATTATCCCTGCTAACAGACCTTGGCTGAGAAAATGTGGAATGGAAACACAGCCTAGAAAGCAAGAACCAAAACCAATGCTTGTGAAATGAACAAGACAAATTCAAAGAGCTTATTCTTGTGTTTCTTTTCCCACCAGACAATACAGATGAAACCATTCTAAGTGTGTACCATGTTAGCAAGTACTAAAATCTTGGGGGATACAAAGTCAAGAGACTGATACAATGTAGAGGTATTGGCCTCAAGATAATGTAAGTTTTAAAGGACATTATTAATTACTGTCCTTTTCCCCTTTGCTGTTTAAAGCCTAACAAAGAGGATGAAATCAGCTGTAGTCTTCTTATTCTCATGAAAGTCTTAAAACGCAGAGCATGAAGTGCCATGGTACCAGTAAAGAAAACAGCAAAAGGTGAGCAAAAGTTTGCACCTGTCACTACTGTGTATGTTGAGCAACGGATTTAAGACTTACTTTGGTATTAGCGATATGATCGTGATCTGTGGGATTCATCTGCACGGAGCTTGTAAAAAGCTGAATGAGACAAAACACATCAAGTTTTAGGTATCTTGATGTTGCTGTTAAGAATATAGGACCATTGCATCTGCATGTATGAGAATAATCCCCTGTACTTATTCCACCCTCTATGAGGACTGGAATTTATTTACAGGTAGTTACCACTTTTGCAAAAAAAAAACAAACTAGCTTTGGAGCACAATTGGGATTCCATGAGGCTCAGTCACAAAGGAAACAACTATATTGCATCTAACTAACATGGTTTGCTGCAGTTTTAAAACACCATTTTCTTCTTACTTTGCTGCATGGATAATTCTGTCTACAATATGGACAAACACACCCTGCCCAAGTTTCCAAGTGACACCAAACCAGAAGGAGTCACCAGTATGCGGGAGAGCAGAGCTGCTGTTAAGAGGTATCTCAACTAAGTGGGAGAGGGGCCAACAGAACTCCAGCAGATTCAACAGCCATGCGTCTTCAGGACCCAGTAATCTCATACACTGGCCCAGGTTAGGGTTAAGGAATGAATGGACAGGGAGCAGCTCCTTGGATAGGGAACATGGGAGTCATGGTAGACGACACTGGTACCAGCAGCAGCATGGCCTTACTACAGAGAGAGAAGCTCTGCTACGGGCAGCCCAGCCAGGATGTTGCTGGAAGTGATTATTTCTCTCTGCACAACACCTGAGGCCACTTGTGGAAGAGTGTCCTAGGGCTCCCAGTCGGAGAGTTTTTAAATGAGAGGGTGTTTGGAGGCTTAAGACCTTCAAGAGGCCCAGCAAGCCTGGCTAATCTTGTCTGAAGAAGGCTGAGGAGGAAGGATAACTACCCTCTTCCACTGCTCTGTTATGGAGAAGGCAAACTCCACTTAAACAAAGGACAAGTTGAAAGAGTGACGAAGTGCAGCAGGGAAAACTGACTTGACATAGGGGAATGTTTCAAGCTGATCCTGCTTTGAGAAAGGGGACTGGACTAGATGATGTGCACAGGTCCCCTCCAACCCAGACCACTCTACTCAACATAAACCTGAAGGAACCTAAAAAGAGAGCCTTTTTAACCCTAGTTCATTGAGAAGACCACAGATGATGTGCTGGGTTATTTCAAAGCAAGAGTATTAGACATCTACTTGATGTCTAAGTTCATGTCACAACAAATATAAGCACGATTTCGTTCATTAATGAAGCCATTCTTCAATAAAAGAACTTATGCATTAATTTGAGCAGTGGTGTAGCACTGAGAATTATACCAGTGCTCAAGAAACATATATTCATAAATATTTGTAACTCAGCTTTGTAAAAGAAAGAGAGGAAAAAAAAATCAGTTGCGTTTTAAATCCATTCTTAACAGTAACAATACACACAAATCTTTTGTAAGGCCTATTGCCAAAGTATTTAAAATAAAATTACATCGACCAGGAGATCTGGATCTATGCTGAACTGTCGTCCTGACAACATAGCCTGGAAGTCCTCTAAACTGCAGTCGATACTGTCGAGGTAATCCAGAAGTTCAACTCTAGAAGATAAACAGTATTTTACTGCTGTATCCCTTAACAAAGTAAGATAAATTCTTGAGTAAGCTTGACACAGATGTACTACATCCATCTAAAAATCTTCACCAGAACTAGAATGAACTAAGTTTTTCATCAGATATCACCTCTGGAAAAAAATGAAAACTTTTAGCCTCTAGAGGAGAACCCAAGTAAAGTAGATGTGTGCCCTGAAACAGGTATTGCAGGAATTGTATTAACATAACGCTATGACATGACATTGGCCCCACATAGCCCTAATGAGTCCCATATGCCTGCAGGAGTGACACAAATAAATCTTGACAGTTTAAACAATGATATCCACAATATTACACTGCCAGATTACACATCCCAACTCACTCATGTGAGCTACACAATGAGAATCAGAGGTCACATCTTAAAATACTTAAATGGATCTTTAGAAACTGGCTAGAATAACAATGGATTATAAATTTAATATTCTCAGCAGAAACTACTATTCAGTTCTTTTGACTTCAGTCACATAATCTGTTCTAATCCTGGAAAAAAAACCAAAAGCCCAAACTACTTACTTTCCAAGAAGGTTTATATTCTGTGAAATTACTCCATTTTCATTGAGTATGGAATCCATCACTGAGACTGGATCTTCTGCAGTTAAAGTTGACTGGTTATTCAGCTGTACAGCACTTGACATGAGTGGGCTTGTACTGTCACTGACAGGGTTGACTGGATCATTACCTGGGACAGCAACTGATTCTGTGCTTTTATCCCCTTGAATCACAGGGGCGTATTCATCTTCGTTATCATCTTCCACAATTACAATATCGGGAGAAGGATAGCTACAACTACAGCTGCAATACAAGATAAATTAATTAGAGCATTTCATATACTCTTTTAAATTGGTACCATTATAAAGGTTTAGTTACTCCTCACTTTGGTCAAGCTACTGTAAGGAAATAAACTTCCTACCGCTTTTTAATACTAAATACAGAAAGTATTTAGTACCTATTTAGTACCTCAGTACCTATTTTCCATTGATATGGTTCTGTAATGCTCAATACAGTTAATGCTGTTCACCTGGCACACACAGTTCTGCTAGACCACAATAACCAACTGCTAAAAAGCTATAGGATACCTTTTTGCATTAGGACAACTGTAAGTTCACATATAAAGTATGTACAAAGTGGACCAAAGCATATAAGGCTATCAAACTAGACAGACAACATATATTTTGCATATTTCCTACTGAACATAATCAACTCTGGAGCATCCATAACATAAAGGATCTCAGTCAACAGGTTTGTAGTTCATTATCCTTTTTATGTATACCAGGAATGAAACCTGAAAACCAAGAGCAAGCCTCAACTAATTTGCTTTCATCCACATTCTAGTTCTTAACCCTCAAGATGCTGCCTCTCCATCACAGCCTTATCCTCATAAAGCTTTTCTATCAGAGAATACATTCCCGGACATCAGCTGAGCAAGAACAATGGTATCAGTTCATGTGCACGCTAGAAATACCTAACTTTTATTTCTTAAGGCATAATACAGGCCATAACAATCCCCCGTAACCCAAAGAGAGTCCTAAATTCCTGGACCAAGTTTCAACTTGCTTGTAGATGCAAGATGAACTACTTCTGTAGTACTAGAGTATAAACACGAAGGAACACAGTCACAAAACACCTGGGACTGAAAAAACCAACCCCTAAAATTAATTAGCTTAATGAAGTTCAAAGACCACACCAACACCAGACAAACAACACATTCAAATTATTCTCCACAAAGATCTGTAAAAACAAGGCAAGTTATTCCTGTCTGTATTCATAACCAAAAGCAAGAAAACACCACTTACTCTGTCTTTGGACAACTAGTGTATTTACAAAGAGTGCAATAATACAGATTGCTTTCATCAGTTTCTATGTGTCTGCCACATATTACAACTCCAAGAGCCAATTAACTAATTGGAATAAACCCAGAGATCAATAAATCAAAAGCTACAGTGAATTCACAGATGAAGCTTCTTTATGTGCAGGAGTGCTGAGTAATTCTGACCACTTCAATAACAAATTACCTACGACATCTGAATTACTGCATATTATACAACACTGAAAGCCATTATCTACATACTCTTCTACAGACTTCTTACTTGGAAGAATCTGAAGTGGTATCTTCATTTGTTTCTGGCGTAACAGGAAGATTTTCTTCTTCACCCATGGGATTTTCTTCATCACACACATCCTCAGTGACATCGTAAATAACAATATCATCTGAAATCTGTTCTCTTTGTTTTAAGTCCTCATTTCTGTTGAGAGGTACCTGAGAATTATTTTTAAAGGAGTCAGGGGACCGAAGGATGATGAGCATCAGCATTTTGACAGTTATCATTTTATCTTACAATGCTTCAAATCTAAAAAAGTCTAAGAGTTTTTCCTATACCGTTGAGATTACAAGCTGTTTGTATAGATCTATGTTTAATAGGAAAAGCTATACAAGTAAATGAACAAGATGGAGAATACCAGCTACAGGAAAGTCTAACAAATACTACAGGCATAAAAATAAAAAATGTACTAGCACTGTCAGCAAATGCAACAGAAAAGCTGCAAAAACAGGACCATACAATAAATAAAAATATTAAAACCATGACTGCTGTTTAAATAGTACTTTATTGCAAAGCTACTAACTCTGGTTCCATGCTATAGCACTCATTTTGATGATTTCCCCCCCAACCTTTATTTGGACAGCAGAAAACAACTTTCAGTGGCGTGACTCATTCAAATGGAAAAAATATGGCGTGATTTTGCTGCATTGGAAGCTGCCTTGCAGACCAACACACTGGACTCTTGCCTCTGTATGGGGCCAGGGGCGCCTCACTCCCAGAGATAACAATGCAACCTAACAGCATAATTAATAAAAGCGAACCGCTTTCAGTAGGATCATGTCAAGCTGTATTTAATACACAGGTAACTGGTTTATACATGCTTATGTTGTAAAGTTACATCAACAAAATATGATGGAACACTTCTGCAAGTCAACAGCTCTCAATACACAGCTACTAAATTCGTGAAGCGTTCCTTTTTTTTTTTTTTTTTTATGAAGAATTCAGGAAGACAGCTAGATCATGCAGAAAGAAAATCAGGGATGCAAAAGCACAATTTGAAGTTAAATTGGCCACTTCTGTTAAGGATAACAAAAAGTCCTTCTATAAATACATTAATAACAGAAGGAGGGGCAAAGAAAACCTCCATTCTTTGATGGACTTGGAGGGAAACATAGTTAA